AACCACTGTTGCTCAGAGCTCAAACTCTTGAGCGAGCTCTTAACCAACTGAGCCACTCGGCCGGCTTAATTTTCTATATGACTGAAATATCTCAAAAAATTATGGTGAAAAATGGAACATTCTGTGTGAAAGACAGTAAATGTTTTGTGGAAAGCATTAATTCCGTAAAGCAAATAGAAATTCCAAATGAGCTGAGAACATTTTTCAGAATGTTCTCCTTTGCCGCCTAACCATATAAAGTTTAGCAGTGATCAGTATTATTTTTCCAAAGGTTAGATCATCTTCAATGAACCTAGCAAATCCATTTACTATCTGAGAAAATTAATGTAGTCACAGACTCAGCGTGTGTTACAAATTACAAGCACCTATATCTTAATACTTAACTGCTGAAAAATACTTACAGAATTCATCATAGCAAGCTGTGATGGGTAAGCTTTACAAGGAAAGTTAATCTTCACCCCACCAATTGTATATTCAGACCATGTTGAAGACATCATAGTTTCTTGTTTACTTCAGATTCCTAACTGCAACACAAATGAAAATCAATATTAAAACAATGCCATTCAAAGAAAACCAGATATCCAACACTAAGAGTCAGGAAGTAAAAATTGCAATAAACATATGAACAAAACAAATGGAAATAAAAGAATTTCCTAGTCTTATAAATCACAGTGGTTGACAGCATGTCTTGGAATCTGACAAATCTGGATTTATACCCCTATGCTGTCAAAACTGTGGACCAGGCGTTAGGAAGTATAGGTTCTAGATCAGGTTCTAGACAACAACTCGGATACGTGACATTGATCACGTCGCTTCACTTCTCTAGACTAAGATCCTTATCTGTAATAATTCTTAATTTCAAAACTGCTGTAAGGGAGGTAACTCCTTGGCATATAGGAGCGACTAAAATAATTCCTATTTAATGGAAAGAAGTGGGTTTTGGAGTAAGAAAAACTTAAGTCTGAATTCCACTGGGTGAACACTTCACCTCTCAGCCTGTTTCTTCATCTCTGAAATGGAGATAACACTATCTACTTGATAAGGGTGTTTATGAAAATTAGCCAAGCACTAACTTAAGAATAAGGTAACATACAGAATGTGCATAAACTACAGTATCTGACACAGAGGAAGTGATCTACATTAATCCCTACATCTTCTAAACCACCTTTTCTTAACCCAGGATCCACAGATGTAATTCAGAGACTGTGATCTCTAGATGCTACATGCAAAAGTTTCTGTGCATAACGGCTTTTTTTTCTGAAGAGAAAGTCTGTACATTTCTCATTCCCCAAAACACATCCTAAGAAAATAATTGAAAATAGAGGGGAAAATGATATACACTGTTCTCAAGTGAGGAATTATTTGCAATAGTGAAAAAAAAACCCCGGTAAATTCAATCTGGGGATGAAGGAATGGTTAAAATAGCAATGCAATAGATTATGAACCAATTATAACCTTAACCATAGCATATGGGTGCTAAAATAAGTTAAGAACCACTATCCTAACCTGTTTTCCAGGTCTAATTTTGTGATTCTCTCTCTGAAGCTCCGAGAATTAGATTTGGTGGAACCTAGCCCCTTAATCTGAATCAACAACTCAATGCTGGCCTTGTTACTCAGATATCACCTAAAAATCAGCTCATCCCCTCTTCCCAATTGTGGCAACAAGCATCTCAAAATGGGGTTCTTTTCCCCAAATATTAAATAAGGGACAAAAATACAAAAAACAAACAAACAAAAACGATCTGCCAGCCGCGTCGCCCCCTGCCGCCAAGAGTTAACGCAGGGCCCCGGGCTGCTAACAGGCCTCTGCTCCCAGAAGGTGAGGACAGGCTCCGTTCTCCCCAGGTTTTCTTCCTCATACTTCTCTCCTCCCTCTGCCAGCTGAGATCCCCGAGGCGCTGGTGATCCAGTCAACACCGGTGGGCCTGCCAGGCGGCTGGGCGAAAGCAGAAAGCACCCCTCGGCAGGCTTCGCGCCCTCCCTACGGGAGGCAGACTTGCCTGGTCTGAGGAAAACCCAAGAAACGCTGACAGGGCTCCGATTCACGCGAGAAAAGGACACCGGTATCGGCGAGCAAAAGCCCTGGCACCGAAGAAAGGTCACAAGCCTCTCTCTTCCTCCCCGGTTGCTTCTCCCTGGGTCTGATTGCGGGCTCGGGGCCGCTTTACTTCTCTCCTTCAGCTCTCATCTGACCCAACATCACTCTCCGGGATGAATTCCCGCCTCCCACCCCTCAGCTCCCAGCACCCAATCGCCGGGCGAGCTCAGACAACCAACCAATCATACGCCAAGACCAGAAAAAAACACCCAATCCCGGCGCGAGGTTAGGAGACGTGAACTCTGGCACCCAATGGAAGCCTCCGCCAAAAATAATAGCCCTAAAGTAATTGGCGGCACCTGAACGCGTGAGAACAATTCATCGCACAAAACCCAGGGATTTAAAGGAAAAGTCTTCTCCGTTTGGCTTTTTGAAATCGGTGATTTAACCAGTGCACCCAGTTTCCTTGGAAACTCGAAGTTCTATTCTTAAGGTCTGTAGACCAACAGAGAGGGAAACACCTTTAATCCTTGCCCAGTTCTCTGAGCATTCCCCAATGCCGCGAACTTTAGAGCAGCCAGGGTTTTGAAAAGAATGAGGCGGGAATTGCTAGACTACTTAGCAAACTAGGCGAAAAGGTTTATTGACAACTGGCTACAATATCTCAATAATCAAGGCTTTCCCAGATACCAAGTTCACCCAAAGAAACGCTCTCGAAGTCGCCAGCACCAGATCACTTCCTTCTACCTCCGTTAAGGCGTATCCCTCCTAAAACCAGTTTATTCTTCTTTGACAAGTGCATTTCAGTGTCCTCAAAAGTAGGTGGTTAATCACGATCTGGCCAAATTGTTATTTTTTTTTTAAATCCTGTATAGCCTAAACTTGGCTTAATACTAGTGTCTCAAAAAAGGAAAACCTGAGCGTTTCTCAAATGAAAGAAACTACTTTGGGGAGAGGATTGTTGCAGGAGGGAGCAGCTGGAGGTGAGTTGATTTGTTTGCCTCACCATAAGTTTTACTACATGTTCCCCAAATGACAAAACTTACATCCATAAAAATAAATTCTACCCTTTAATTTAGTAATCCGGCTCAGAAATTTATCCTAAAGAAGTAATCTTTAAGAGAAAAAAAATACCTCAATTGATCACTGTGCTATTATAATACTGGAAAAAGTCAAACTTCCCAGCCTAAGTAATAGGGAGATGGTTATATCACTTTAATCGTTCTAAGCCAATAAATCATAAAAACTAAACAACCTGCAAACAAATTCCATCTAGAGTTAAATGAAAAAAGGCACCCAAACTGGGTATTATGAATTCTGTTATGTGAAAATATGTATGCATAAGCAAAGATGAAGGGAAGGTACAAAAATGTAATTTACTGTTAAGACAGTGGAATGAAGGATAACTTATAAAGATAAATCCTTAAAAATATCTCCAAATTGAAGTTCTGCTTTTACAAATTTTTAAAATATCAAATCTTTTACGTAGCTGCTGCAACGTAACTACTCTGATATTTTTTCTCCTAAATTTCTAGGGCTCTCCACTGACTGGAACCTTGTATTGCCATTTGATATATGTGGCATAATAGAAAGGGATCCACCGAAGGCCCTGGAGCCAGACAGTCCTGGATTCCAGTCTCCTGAACTGTTTCTTTCAGGTTAACAGTAGTGAAATGAAACACAAACAACTACAAGTTCATTTAAAGAATATGAATGTTTATAAACCACTATTCAAAATAGCTGCACACATCTGTTTCACTTGAATAAAAAAATCACATTGTGACAAATTTTATAACCTTAACTTAAAATACATGAATATTAACATTTACTAATTAATATATTTACACTTTATTTACATCGACAAATCTGATGAAAAATAGCATATGTTATTATTTTAACAGCAGGTTTTGACCAGTCTTTGAAAATTGATCCAGGAATGTGCACTGCATTTTTAATTAGAAAACCTATTTCAACCTTTTGTGAACTCCTAGAGGTTACCTACTCCCACAAAATATTCCAAAGCCCCTGTTTCAAAACAAAACGGGAGCATTTGTATTTAATCTTAAAAGACTACAAAACTGCCTTGTTTAAAAATATGAAAACTCTAATGGTATTTTTTAAGTGTATGCTTTTATTTTTCACAAAATTACTTAATCGAACATTAAGCATCTGTCATCTGTGATACTGTGCACTTCATGATTTGAAACAGCTACAAATTAGTTCTTATGTAATACCCTTATGAGGTAGGGCCAGTAGTAATCCCACTTTACAAAGGAGGAAAATGAGATGTGACTATTTGCTAGTAAAAAGCCTTAAGTTAAATTTCTTTTCTTAAAAACCATGCTGTCTTATTAGCCTGCCTAATTTCTTTTACAAGTGAAGAGGTCTGTTTCAAGTGGCGGGCAGGAGGGGGGTATCATTCAGGTATATCTCAGAAAGCAAACAGAAGTATCTTGTACACAGGATACTTAAGTAAGGAAAAAATGAGGATTGTGGATTACCTGAATGCATCCACCTAATCAATGGAAGTTACTAACAGAGGACTGCAAAATCCTTCAGCAACATTGTGTTTTCTGCTTTTTAATTTTTCCTGAGGTCCAAACATTGTATATATTTTCTTACTCAGAGATCTTCTAAAATTATGATGTGAATTATAATCCTGATGACAAACCAAGAACTCTTTAATCCAGTGGGTTTTATTGCTCTAAACTTTAATTAGATGCCAATGTATTTCTGACCATTAGATAATGAGTAAAGCATTATGAAAATAAATTTTAAAAAAACTAAATGTTATGACCCTCTTTTCAGGTTCCTTTCTCTGCACAAAGATGTTTCTGTAAACTTTTAAACCAGTATCTTAAAACTCCAAATTGTTCAAGTATCTCTTTAAACATATGGCTTCACGTATCAGTAAAAATTGAAGCAAATATGTAAAAATCCTAAAATCTGCATCTGTAATTCCATGGATATCATTTACAAAAAGCTATTTGCCTTTTTAAAAGCCTTCTCAATACTATTTATTGAGAACTGGAATTTCATCTTGCATTATCAATACTTAGAGATTTCTATTTGGGTAAATTCCTAATTTCTCCCGAATTCTCCCTTTTTCTTCCTCATCATTGTATCACTGTCACACTCTGTTACTAATTGACAGTTAAACTCAACACTAGGGATACCCACAAATTCATTTTTATAAAAAATTAAAGCCATGGCAGTTTTTCTTCACTTCAAAAGTTAAATACAAGGCCAAATTCACTTTCCAGTAATGAATATCTTAAATGTGTTCCCAATAGAAAGAAAACTCGGCCGCTATAAAATAAACATACCAGCAAAGGTAGATCCATAGACCTGCCAATCAAATACAAGCAAGCATAATTCTCAAGAGAGTTCTAAATTGTATTAATGTTGAATTGAATCATTTTAGTGATTCCAAGACGTTACTGTTCCCATTCAGTTAAGCGTTGTTATACGATGCAGATTCATGTTGGGTATATGCAGCAAACAGCTTCATGTTTTTGTTTTAAGTTGTTTTGTTTTTTAAATTCCACTAACACTCATGTTTATTATTTCAATTATTGTGCTTTCAATACAATGACAGAGCTGTACATCAGGATCCATGCTTCTCGTGTCCCTGGGTCCATTTTTAAAAGATGGATCTTTACAGATTGCGGACCATCCACCTGGTTTCTCCTTTATTTGTTGAAGACCTAAAAACATAAGGAAAAAATTAATTAAGCCAAGAATCTAGAAAGGATTTTGAGTTTTTTTGTGTGAGATATTAAACAAGTCTTGAAAATAAGTTACTACTTACGAGTAATAATTGGATCAATGTCTCTTGTCTGAGTGGCAACATCAGAAGCACAGACTTGCCCTATTTGGATCAGCAAAGACATAATATCCTCGTACAGTGGAGGAAATGCTCGACAAAAAGAGACCAAACTTGGGAGAGTTGGCATGAAAAAAGCATATCGCTTAGCCTGTGTTAATACTGTTGGAAAGAATGAAACAGAATTTTTGGTTTTACAGATATGAATTCAACCTAGATAGCACATACAATATACTGAGCACCATGATCTATGCTGAGTATACTCAGTTTTCTAAGACATGGCCAGCTTCTGCCTTTAACTCACAATCTAGTACTCAGCCTTCATCCAACATATAAATCCTTATGCCTAAGCACTGGGACAAGTGCATCGCATGCATTATTTCATTTAATTCTCACAAGTCTTATGAATGTGAAAAGTACTATAATGATACCTACTTTTATATGAGAAAAATTTTAAATAAAACTTAGATTGAGAAACTTGTTTAGGACCACACAGCCAGTTAGTGGTGGAGTTGGGATTGAACTCAGGCAGTTTAAGCTCTTAACCACTACAAGTAATTATAACATGAGGTGAATACAATGGAAAGAAAAATGAACAGATTGTTACGGGAGTCCTGAGTAAGAATATGAAACTAACTAAGCCATTACTTTAAAAGACTGAGTTACAGTTCATATCTCTTAAAGTAGTTTATTTTCATACCATTTTACTCCACAAACCAGGTGGTTAAAATGTTAGGGTATGTTGTAGAGCTTAAGGAAGCAACTAATATACTTATTTATACATATACTTATATTTTCCTGGAACTCTAAGCATTTGCAATAAATTGTAATTTGTTTTCTATTGACATAATTACATTCAGAGATTTGATTTCCATTTAGAAAATGTGGGGAGCTTATTATTATAAATCTACATATAGTCACAAAATGAAAGATACAATTTTCCTTCCTGTTCATCTCTACATTATAACACATTTGTGATAGGAATATTTTTAAAAGATGGCATAAATTAATTAGTGACACAGAAAACACAGTATCACTAAATTTAGAAAAAAGATGTCCTTCTTTATGTTAGAAGTTTTGGTGTTGGTTGGTTACACACCTGTTAGCAAAGTTCCCATGACATTGACAGCTAAGCGAGCCACACTGAGTGACTTTGGTAATGCATACTGGATACACAAATGAGAAAGCAACTGGATAGCAAATATCTGCAACACAAAATCCAAATATTACAAGTTTCTGAAGACTATCTTTAAGTATTAAAAATTATAAAATGTTTTCTATAACCAGCAAGACTGGAGAGAGATTAAAATTTTCTAAAGCTCCAAAATGATCATACCT